ATATAGAAAAAGAAGAAAAAAAAATTGAAAAGCAAATAAATAAATTCTATTTTGATTTCTGCCAATAAAATAAGGACACCTAACCATTCTAAAAATAATTATAACCTATAAATATCAATAAAATATCATCTATATGTATGTATGTAAGTATTTTTTATAATCGAAAAAAAAATGAAATCATAATCGACATGAAAATAAAATCGGAATCAGTGTCTTAAAATGTTGTTTTTAGTATTTTCATCTAAAAAAATTGTAGTAATCCGATGAACGAAAATAGAAAAAAAAAATCATCAGAAATAAGTTTATTTTACAACGAAGAAAGAATTTAATCTTGGCAGTGTTACAAGACAGATGGCAGTAAAATCTGTATGTATGATTTCAGTATAGGCGTCAGTGAAAAAACAAAATTACCTTTAAGTTCTAAAAATGGGAGAAATTTTAACATTGAATGTCCCACCTTAACTTAATCCGATTGAAAATGCAAGTGATTAATTAGCTCCAAAATAAAGTACAGTGAAATTTTGGAGATTGATTGTCTAAAATATGCAAATAATTTATTTATTTATATTTGTTTCTTTCAAATTCAAGTGAGAAAAATCTCGTACAGAGTGTTATAATTTTAATATTTCTTAAGAAACAATTTACAACTTTTACGAGAAACAAGATGCTCGTAAGCAGTCTACTTTCATTCATTCTATAAATGAATTTATCTTTTTTTTTTTTAAAAAAAGGAGGGCTTGCGGTGTGAAGCAACGATTGTAATTTGTTGAATTCACATATTGCTTTATTATAAGTATTACGATCTTTAATCCAGTTTTTCTTTATATTGACTTCTTAATATTTACTTTTCGAAGTCAGTTTATAATCGGCAATTTTCTTCAGTATTTCTACGTTGTCTGTATTAATCTATAATTTTGTATATTACTATAAGTTATGTCAATCTAAATTATTTGTGAACTTATGTTTATATTTCGTTTAAAAAAAATAAAAATAATGTTGATTCTCGGGAGGTGCCTTGTACTTCACCGTATTTAATCGGTTTTTTTTTTATTTTTTCTAATTCAGAATTGTTCATGTTCTATTTCTTTTTTATTTCATTCTGTTTACTAGGTAACTATTAAACCACTTGTGTGCTGTACCGACTATTTCAATACTATTCAGAGCTTTAAGCAAAATTTTTGGAGAAATCTTTTCCAATTCTTTTTCAATATGTGCTATCATGCCATAAGCTTGTTGTCTTAACTGTTTTTCGACATCCATATTGAGTATTGCTTATAAGTAATATTATATTTGTCCTAGTATACTAATAGCTAGTAATTAAATAATTAATTAGGTTCAAATATTTTGCTAATTATATATATGAAATAAACATTGATTTGTTTGAAGTTATACAGTAGAGTCATTCAAATTTTTTAAGGCGTTTCCAAAAAAATATATTGTTTTTCATATTCTTTGCTAAAACTTCTCCAGTCGTGCTGTAATAAAAGTTAAAATTGTTTATTTTAGAAACCCTCTAAAATAAATATTTGAAAGTTAAATAATTGAATGAAGTGCTGCTCGATATAATTAAGAAATGAGTAACTCACAATTTTTAATTACCAAATTATTCGGCAATACGTGTCAATTACAGATAGAATGTTATCATTTCAAGTCTTTTTTTATTTTTAATTTGTAACGAAATTTAATATCTAAAAGTAAATATTTATTAACATACAAAAGGTACACGCATGCAAAACGTATTCTCTATTTGCAAATTATATTCTCATTCTTTAGAATATTTTTGTTCTATACAATCCCGTATTCATAAAGTCATATAGGTGTAAAATTAATTATATACAATATTAAAATTATTCAAGAAATATGTACTTCCTCTGACCGTTCCTGCAATAATTTTTGAAACCGAAATATTAAATAACGTTAATTTGTTTTTTTACTTATTTAAATGTTGTATGCCAATTAATTTAAGTGCTTGTGACGTTACAATATTCTACGTAAATATTTAAAATAAAATTGACATAAAATTTAATTTATTATTTAATAAAATTCATTAAAAAGAAATTAAAATTATTAGAGTTGCTAATAATCATATGCGATTTTTTATTACATTCGTTTAATTCCGACAAAATACTGAAGTTTTTTGGTCTTCTGGAGTTTGAAATTTGAACCGCATAAAAATGTATACAGACGTTTTTGTGTAAAATGCTGATAAATTACAAATTTGCATGTAATTTTTATTTAATTCAGTACAACAAATGTTGTAATTTAAAATAATTTCATGTAATATTGGTCAAATTTAGGTTTTGGGGTGGTCCATTCGAACATGTTAATTTTAAACAATTTTTTCACATATATCAAAACTGGTATCGACGCGGATAACGTGTAATCTTGGCGACCAAATATGATTAGGAAACCTCAGAAGAAGGGCTTTATTATTCAAATTTCGGAATCACATAATTTTATAGTTTAAAAATTTTAATTTTAACATGCCAATTTTATTTTTGGTAACACAAGATTGTAAACTTCTCTAATTTTGCTGGCAACAGCCGGCAGTCTTGGCAACCGAGCTTTAATGTGGTATATAAGTCTACCTGATCTGGTTTAGGAATTTTTGAAAAAAATAAAACGCTCCAAATATTATTTTTTACCAAATTTTTTTCTTCTTCCTGGTTATTAACGTTTTAAATTTTAAATGGATGGTTCTGAAACTTTATGTATCAGCGGCACGGTTTCTTATTACAATTTGTTTGTACATACATACATATATAGAATATGTTTTTGTATATCACTTCATTGAGCAAATACTCCTACAATAAAAATAAATTCATGTTTAAATATGGTAATTATTAAATAAATTATTTAATTGAATTAGAATGAAATGAGAAAGTAATTAATCAGAATAATCTGTTTCCACTACAGAATAATAAAGTGTGTGTATGTATATTTTTTCTACATTAAATTTTAATTTATAAAGCTTTAATTTTTTTTGTACTTTAATATTCTAATAATATTGCAATCAAATGTTTTAATTTATGGAACCTTTATAATTTTGTATATAATAAATTACATTTTTTTCCGCGAGTAAAGATTCAGTTCAAAAAAATAATTTTATTTTTGTTTCTTTTAAAAATATATCATAAGACTGTTAACAAGTTCTTCTGTGGATTTCTGGGTTTATAAAGCTGGATTTTTGCAGTTTGTTTTAATAACATGGCTTTTTCTTAAATTTTGTACAATTTTGAAATATTTTTATTAAATTAATAGAAAGCTGAAGCTCTTTCTGTAACCTAAGTCCTTCGTGCAAATAAATTTAAATTGCCTGTACGACTTATTTTTATCACCGCATATTATTTTTTGTATTTGTTGCATATAGTCCAGGCGCATCTAAGTTGCTGTTGAAAATAGTACTTTTGTATTATTGCTAATTTGTGCAATTTTCATTTTTATTTTGTTCTTTCAATTTTGTATTGTTTTACATAGTCAACACCGTTTTTCAGTAACAATTTGGTTTTTTCAAAGCTGTCAAGAAATTTGAATTATTGTGAAATGCAATTTTACTACATACATATTTCATGAATTTTTCTCATACTGTTTGGTAAATCGGTAGCACGTAACCCAGGTGACTGTATTAATGCTCTTCTTATCAATAAATCCAAAGTGTATTTCGCACAGCAATACACAGAAAAGTAAGAAATTTGTAATAATATTTAAATTAGGTATGTACCAAATATGGGGTTAACTAAAACTAGTTTATATTTTAAAAAAATCAAAGGAGAAATTCATTTGTAATGGCTACTTACCTTGAATAATTTATAATACAACAAATTTATAATATAACAAATTTCACGAAACTTTAAATTTTAAGGCACTTTTAATTAATTTTTCTTTTTAGGTTGACAATTCACTACTCACTATGTGCAAACATGTACAAAATTTTACATGTCGAGTTTCTATAGAGAAGTGTATCCATTCATGTAAGAGAAACGTGAAGAAACTATTTTTTTTACTTATTAATGACAATTATTAATTTATTTTGAAGAGCAAATTTTGTAACTTTAGAAATTTTGCAATAATAGACCATTGACAATAATATTAAAGAAAAACGAGAAAAAAATAGAGTTGACTTGTCAGCTCTGTGATACCCGTACGAATTTGTTATTCTATGTGCAAATAAAGATGCCCTAACTGACTATGGGACAGACTATGACTTTAAGTTGCCATATTACCATATTAATTTATGCAAAATTTCAATACTGTGTGTTTTTTAAATACTGTGTGTGCCAAACTACTATTGAAGTTATATGGCAGCTACCAGAAAGAGCCAAGATATTTTAACGAATTTTATATTTATATTGGCCCTACTAATATATTTGCTTGTGTGAAATTTCAATACCACAGCTTTTATAGTTTCTGAGATATAGCCAAATAACTTTTGAAGTTGTATGGCAGGTGCCAAAAGCAGCCAAGTAATTTCTACGACTTTTATTAGACATATTGGCCCTACTAATATATTCGTTTGTGTGAAATTTCAATATCATAGCTTTTATAGTTTCTGAAATATAGCCAAAGAAATTTTGAAGTTGTACGGCAGCTACCCGAACCGGTACCCCGATCATGTCCAATTTAAATAGGGTTCTGGCACTTACTACAATAAATCTTCATATCGTTGGGACGGACGAACGGACGGACAGACAAAGCTTAATTAACTCAGAATTCGACGCTGATCAAAAACATACACTTGGGTCTATATCTAAAACCGTTATTTCTTAGCGTTACAAACGGTAAGGCAAATTTAGTATACCCTTCGAACATACGTTCGTACAGGTATAAACACACTTTCACTCTCTCTCTCGTTGGTTATGTGCTGACAGTATCAGATTTGTTAGATTATTTTAATAATCAGATTTGTTAGATCAGATTATTTTAATATTTGATTTTAATTCCAAAAAAAAAAATTTTATTTTGAAACTAATAAATAATTATTTTATTTTGAATTTTTTAAGGTAATGGAAACTAAATTGGAAAGACAAAGTCAATTTCCGGCAACATTTCCGGATACATTTAAAGACTTTTTCGCAATGATGAATGAAGATGAAGACCACATTGATTTATTTTCAAATCTTTTGGAAGATAAGGTAATTTTCGAAATTATATTAAGTTGCTATGTAATTATTTATATTACAATTATTAAATAGTTTAAGATTTCATTCACCGCTATGAAAATAGCAAACTCTTTTGTCTCTTTATATATAAAGGAGTAAAAAGTTAAATCTAACATAATTTTCTCGATGTAATTTGTAAACAGTCTAAAAGAATTTAATATGAACATACAATATAGGTTATTTAATTTAAATTAGAATAAAAAATTCACCGCACAAACAAAATTTGCAAGTACTTTGTTCTCATTTGATATAGAATAACTTAAAAGCAGCTAATACAATAACAGTATCGTCATACATGATGATACATGCACAAGCTGTAAAAATTGACTGACCTTTGCCTATTATTTTTCTACTCTCTATATAATATTCGTTTGAAAAGCATCCTCAACATATTTACATACATCTAGAATAATATTATGTAAATAAATGTCAACAGATTTCAAAATTCCATAGACTTTAGGTACCTACCTATACAAGAGCATAATTTTTTATTTAATATGCATAAGGCTATTAATTCTTAACGTGTGGTTTCTCATTTATTTATGCACATACATAACGCAAATGCATTTAAGCAACACCATTAAATGTAACATGTAATATGTAAGAGTTCTTTTGATATTCATAGATTTTTTCTTTATAAACAAGTTTGTACATATTTATATTTGTATGTTAGTATGTCCCATATAACTTATTTTCAGTTTACACTGTAGAACATTAGCTGATTATAATGTTTTTCATATCCTTGCTGTTTCAATATTTAAAAAAAGAGTAAATATTTGCATGTACACATTAATATTCGAAGTTTTTCCTCTGGTTATTTGAAGTTATGCTGATGCTTTTTTGCAAGTTGTCTATTATTAACTTTCACTGTTTATACTAAGCCTTTTGAATTGATTATGAAATGAAGTAAAAGGCAACAATATATAAAAAAATAACCTATATTATTATATTTTTTTTATTATTAGGCGATAGTTAGGTCCAGTATTTAAAATTATGCAATAAAGCAGAAAGAGCTAAAAAAAAAAAAATTTGTTTTATACGAAATAATACTCAAACAATGAAGAAGTAACACGACCTTAGATGGGTTATATTGAATTCCAGTCCGCTAAGTGGCAAATACTTTTTATTATTCAATTTCGAGCAAAAAAAATCTCGCAGCTTTCAATATCACAACTTTTATAGTTTCTAAGATATAGTCAAATAAATTTTGAAGTTGTATGGCAGCTCGCCGAATCAGTTCCGGGATCATATCCAATTTAAAAAGAGTTCTGGAATTTACTGCAATAAATCATTTGTGAAAATTTGGTGAACTTAGTTCAATTAGTTTTTAGGATATTGTTGGGAGGGACGGACGGACAAATGGACAGACAAAGCTAAATCGACTCAGAATTCGACGCCGATCAAAAACATACACTTGAGTCTATATCTCAGAGCATTATTTTTTAGTGTTACAAACGATAAGGCAAATTTAGTATACCCTTCCAACATACGTTCGCACGGGTATAAAAATTGCTCCCTAATGGAATATCGGAAGACCGCAATGAATTTCTTATTCATAAATACCTAAAATATGATTTTATCTTTAATACAAAATCACATAAGGTGTCTTTAATACAAATTTTTTCGAAAATCCTGTTTAGTTTTTTAAAACATTTATTTTGAATTATTTCGTGCCCTAGATTTCATCTATTATGAATTATTTGGATATAAAATTTTGCAATTTCACGATGCTTATGGGAATGATATGTAAAAATTCCTAATATTAAATTATTAATGTGTTTTTAGCACTGCTTTAAATAAGAAAAAACTGCAAATAATATTTGTATGACATACACTCACACATATTTTTTATAGATTTGTAAATTGTTGTCATCGGACATTTTTTTTAGGCGTGTACACACATGGTGTTTACATGTTTTGAAAAGCGTAACAAAACATGTTCTTTTATTTGCAATTTTTTTACTAAATAATTATTTTTCCATTAGCAAATAATTACGAAAAAAAAAATGTCATATACAAATAAAACCTACAAGATGTGAAAATTGCATAGTACAATTCGATAATCCTTAAAGGGTGAGTGTAATACGTTATACGCATAATACACATACATTTATATAATTGTACATTCAGTGCTATCACTCACTGAAAAAATGTATCTAATTTCGATTAATAATAATGTGTACAAAATGTAACAAACAACATACGATATGGGAGGGTTTGAAAGCTTTTCATACAAATTTCTTCTTTTCACAAATTTATTTCAGTCGTATATAATTTAACATTATTTTCAGTACAGGTATACATTAAGTATTTTTTTTGCAGTATTTGATAGTTTTTGAGTTGAAACTTATGATATGTAGGAATTTTTGAAAAATTGTGTCTAATTCTTATTGTACATCATCCGAATACCTGTGTGTCAAAGTGCGAACACTGATTATAAAATACACATAAGATTGTATCTCGAAAAGAGAACAGGAGAAATAAAAATTATGTGATGTGCTGCATTGAATGCCTTGATTACCATTAACAATTGAGTTTACTCGACAGGTTTTACATCAATAGTAGACATACGTTTTATTTTTTATTCCTCTTGTTAACAAGCTTTGTCGGCAAGACCAAAACGCAGTTGGAAATATCGCCAATGTAATAGTAAAAGCCAATCTTCTGTAAGAGTTTGTAGCATTATGTGGGAGGTCTGTTAAAAATTTTTAGGACAGCAAAGAAAATTTTTTGTAGTAACAAGATTTTAACTTAGGTTTTTAAATTGTTTTAATTTTCATAAATAGAAAAAATTTGTGAAATTTTAAATTAACAAATTTTTTAAAGTCACGCTATTAAAATACGCTTCGCATATTAATTTTCTTGCAGGTAATACCACGAAATAATAAATATCCTCACAGACGTTGTGGTGGTAGTTTACGTTGTACAAATACAAATACTGTTAATGTTGGAAGATCCAGTTCATTTCGAGTGAATAGACCAAGTACCGCAAATTTCTGTAGGCATGTTAAATATTGTTGTCTTCATCAAAAGCATCATTCACAAAATTTTTTGGATTACCATCGTTGTCAAGAGCAAAATAAAGAGCATGGCGAAGATGAAGATGATGATGGTGATGATGGAGATGGCTTAACAAAAATTCATAGAATCAAAAATCATCCAAGAAAAGTTTCAAATCATTCTCTTGATTACAGTAAGTAAAATATCATTCATGTAATTTATTCAGTTCTATTCAAGCTACGTCGCAGAAATTAGCGTTTAATTAAATTTAGCAATAATGAAATTTAGTTTTAAAATTTCGGATATTCTTGAAAAATTTATGCTTTTGAAACAATTCAATCAGGGGCTTATAAAATTCTTTACTAAACTTTTATTGAAATACTAAACTTTTAGTTCGACCAAATAACCTTTCAGTGTGTTAATGTAAAATTAGTGTAAAGTTAAAGGCTGGTGGGAAAAATTTAGTGGGTGTTTTGCAATCAATTTATTTTTTTATTCTTCTAAGTTGTTTTCCAATTATAAAATCATAATTTTCTGTTGTGGACAACACCAGTTATTCAAATAAGTTCACATACCCTTAGACAAAATTATTATACAATTTTGAACTTGTGTAGTTGAGGTGAAGTTCATGTGGTGGGGAATCTCATGTAAATTGGCATATTATAAATAAAATTTTTGAGTATTAAATGCTCGAATTTAAATATAAACGATACTTGAATTCATTCAATAATACAAAGCAATGTTGTGAAAATAAAGGTCGCACATATTGTTATAAGTCAACACTATTAAACAATAAAAACAAACACACACATAAGCACAAAGTATAAAGATATATGTAAATACATATGTATATGCATAAATAAAGTAAACGTCCTTTATCTATTTAAATTTTATTTTTCACTGTACAGAGGCAAGGTTAAGTACAAGTTTTGGTGCTCAATGTGAAAAGATGTTTCCACTTTTGATAAATCTTATACTATTTTAATTTTTAAATTTTTATAATTCGCATAGTCTTGAAAATATAATAGAATTATTTTATAACTTTTCAAGGCAAGAAGTAAGATATTTAAGATTTTATTCTTTTTATACATACTTGCATTCATTCGTTTAGAAAACTATTTTCTCTTCATTTTATTCATTTGTAAAAAAAGGAATTTATTGTGTCGCTTACTTATATCTATTTTGGAAACAAAATAAATTTTTTATATTTTTTTTTTATTAACGAATGAAATTATTTATATACTCGTACGAACTCGGTTCACAGAGTGTTCTAAATTTGTCACTCCGATTTCAAAATAGAGAAATAATTTCCTGGAACTTTAAAGTATGCTTTAAATAAACACTTCATATAGTCGGATTTAAGATTAGTAATAATTTTTTCTAAGTTCGAACGGTTAATTCATATACTTTTAAACAAGTTCAAAATTAATTTGATTATATCTGGCAGAAACTATTCATGGTGCGTAAAATGCCAATTTTATATGCACACGAATTTAATTACTCGGTCGTGGTACGCAAATTTTTGAAATTCCAAAAAGAGTAAAACTATTTAATCATATTGTTTAAGAACAACCAGGTTTGCTTAGAGCAGGGATTAACTCCTTCTAAGTAAATGTTTCAAATCTGACAGGATAATTGACACGATGAATATTGCATTTCTCGCAACATGTTGTAGACACGATAAGCTCTATGTATTCTGGTTCTAATTTCTCAAAGCCATTTATCTATATATCCGAAATATTATTATGTATCATACACACCTGTTCTTCTGCTTCTTTAATAATACGTCATATATGTGTACAAAATATTTATTATACAATCGGTTATAAATGGATGTTTATATTCACATATATGTACATAATAATTAACAAAACATGTATAAATGTTATGTTTAGCTAAAAATGAAACAATTTTATTATTGTGTTTTATGTGGGGGCGAATCCATTTATAATAAAAGTGAAATTAATTTATTATTCCTAATCGAAATTTAGTTGTGCAATAAAATTGATAAGATATGTTTTTTATTATGCACTCACTCCATAAACTGAATTAGGAATTTGAAATAAATTTTATAAATAATTGGTTTTACAAGTTTGAAGTTTACAAGTTTTACTACTTTTGCGGCATAAATCTCTTTTTTATTACCGGACTTCAATTTACAAATTTCATGGCAAGTTCATCAAGTATGTATGTGATACTCTTAAAACGAAATCTTTGTACAAATTCTTTGTTATTGCATTGAAATTTTCTCTTGACCTTGTTTGAATTGGATTGCCCTAACAAAACAAATAGGAAAATGAAAACATTTCTCATTTTTTGTTTTGGTTTTTCTTTTTAAATGTTTAAGATTTAAAATAATTTTTGTTTTTTATTTTTCTTTTATTTTCCTTTTAGAAAATAATAGTGATGACAATGATACAATTATAAATATCATATCATCAACTCCTTGTATCCCCTATGTTGGCTTACGTCGTTTAACACAACAACAGCAACAGCAAAAACAGCAATATCATAAACAACAGGAACAACAATATCATGATTTACAACAACAACAACAACACCACCACCAACAACAACAATTTTATTCTCACCATCAATTAAACAAAACGAATGCTTTTCATTCAAAAGAGAATTTACCAAGAATAGCTCAACAACAATGTGGGTTAAGAGAGGCTGTAAGTGGAAGTACTTTAAATTTAGAAGGATGTATGACGACAGCAATATCATCAGCAATTACTGAAACAACAACATCAAATGTTGATGGTGCTGTTGGTATAACTGGTGTAGCATCTGCATCTGTTGTCAGTAGTAGTAGTAGTAGAAATTCACCAACCGTTAGTACTGCTAATCGTTCGGGAAATTTTTTAGTTAATGAATCAGGTGGTAATATAACATCACAGCAAATTAATAAAATGAATCGGCAAGAATTTATTGATAAAAAATTAAATACATCGCGCTCAAATGTAAGTACAAAAAAAAATAAAATAAAATTACGTATATACGCAAATTAAATGTACAAACGCATACATATATACATACATAAAAAAAACAATAAATTTATAGTTTTTGGAAAACATATTTACATACATATGTACATAATATTTTTTTTAATATTTATTATACAAAATACGAAATAGGAAATAATCTAAACATACAACGAAAACTTATTAAAAAATTTAAACAATGAAAAATTCGTTCCCAGCATTTTTGCAAAAAAAAATTTCAAGTGTTATAAATTTGTTGGGCCAGTGTGTATAAAATATCTTGTGCGGTTGATATTTTGAAATATGAATAGTTATTTTAAGTCCAAGAACATTTTAGTTTGATTAAAAAATTTTGAAAAATTTATTAAAAAATTAAGTGCTTCAATTCAAATATTCTGAAAAGTTTGGAAAATTTTTTTAAATGAAATAATATCTGCATAATATTATGATATGTATGTATATATACATATGTGCATATGTACATATGTAAAACAATTACAAAAATAAAAATAGATATAATTAATCATTTTGAATTAAATGCCACGATTTGTTAGTTCAATAATTGTTTTAAGTTGTGCCATATGGGAAATTTGCCATTAAATAAAATGTGAAGTATGAATTGTGTGTGTGCAATTAAATTCTACGTTAGTGGGTTTTTATTTTTATGAAACAAAATCAACTAAAAAACTAAATCAAATATAGTGTTATATAAAAAATTACTTTAGGACTTTTGGATTGTTTTTCAATAATGTAGAGAGCCAAGGAAAAAAAAAAGTTATTAGAAATGATAGGAGTCTAAAATGCAGCATTCTAAAACGGAATATAAAAATTTTATTATACAAGCATTTTCTGATCAAAGAGAAATAATTTTTTAGGCATGTTTTTTGAAAAATTACATATTTTATTTTTAACTATAACCTTAGTATTTACTTTTATTTTTAAATTCCCTAACATTTTTATTCTTAAAAATATGAAGATATTTATGGCTACCAAACAAATATTTATAATGTTGTAAAATACACGTAATTTTGATAAAGTTGGGAGCAAAATTTAAAACCCATTCAATTTTATTGGTTTGGTTGTAAAATAGCCAAAGGCTTTTACGTTTCATTTCATATTTCATATTATATGAAATATTTTGTAATGCTCGAACTCGCATATAAACCATTTTAAGAAATTCGAAAAAAAGAAGGTATGTGGTAGGCAACTAATAAGTTTAAAAAAGGGAATGTTAACTGAAGAATCGAAATTTATATAAATTCGCAAGGCTAACGATAAGATTTAATAAGTTTAGAACATATACGGAACTATATTTAAGTGGGCCAAAATGAAAAATTTCATTCAAGAGAACTAATCTTATACATTATGTATATCTTGCCAATTGAGTAAGTGAAATTTCTAATCTAGCTTTTTTGTCCTATAAACCCTTGCGGGCTAAGTAAAAATTCGGAAACGAAAATATACCAATGTGATTTAAAATACATAATTGGTGTCCGCTTTTTATTAAATTTAATACATATTTTTTTAACATTTTTATAATAAAAGAACCTGATTATTGCATTGCAAGATTAGTCAAGTTCAATGCTAACTTTTATCGGTTAGCCGAAGAACAGAAAAAATGACAAAAGTAAAAAAAATTTTTTTTTTTCAATTTCATTTGCTATTTTGCTAATCCAACAAAATATTTGGAAAAAATAACAAAATTATTCATTTTGAAATATATTTTTTTATCCTAAACTATCTTACAATTAATATGAAAATTGTTCGAAGTAGAAAGGCTATATACAGTGCAAACACAATTAAAAAAACTTGTATGCAAAAAATATTAAACAGGACTTTTAGTGAAGTTTCTTTTGCTATAGTGGATGTCAAAACAAAAGAATTCTAATTTTCAGGCATATATTTCTGTTTATAATTAATTTGCATACTTGAAAGAAAACTAACTAGCATGTATGAAACTCTTATATAAGCTTTATTATAATCAAATTTATTATAATTTTTAGATTAACATGCTATCCTACTATCAGTTTTTCCGTGTTAAAATTTTTAAGATTTTGTGAACTATAAAGTTTTTTGGACAGAAAATGCATTAAACTATATCTAATATAATTAAATTTAACTGTTCCAATTGTCAACTGAACTTTGCCGGATAACAAACTATAAACTTAAACTAAACTATTGTCATATAAAGTTGGCTTAATGCCTTATTGCTTTATTTAGGTATTTAAACTAATTGAAAAATATTGATATTTTTGTTAATTAACATAATTTCTAATTGAATTTATTTATCATGCAAATATTATATAGAACTGTTTTCCGGCGCTCATTGCAAATGCTTACTTTGTATTGTAAAGTTAAATTCGGCCATGTACTCCTATATAGCAATACATAATTTGTAATTGCAACTATAGCCCACCCTCTTTGAATAATGAAAGAAATGCGAAGCGAAATGTTATGAATAATTCTTGGCAACAAAAATTCAATTCTACTGTAAAATTAGAATTTTATAGGTTATTCTGACCGACTTGTTTACGAATGTTTAGGGATGTGTGCTTGTGTACATTTATTTTTTAATAAACAAAACTTAAATAAATATTTTATGAGTCGAAGAATTTTTACTTTTTTTCCATGCTTTTAAAAAATTACATTTTTTTTTTTTTATTAAAATGAAAACTCTAAGTGGAAATTCAATTATTTATATAAAAAATAAAAAAAAGTAGAAAAAAAAAACAAAATATTAAAAAAAAAAATTATTTTAAATAGGTGAGTAGAAATAATACGGTGATTTAATTTTTCTTTTCCTCTCTAACGTTTGTGCTTTCATTAATATTGTCAGCAGCTTTTAATATTTTGCCGGTAATTATATGAAAAATATAATCGAATTTTTCTTTTTTTAATACGATAATTAAAAGTGATTATCGCTGAACAGCTCAATTATATTTAAGATTTTATCTTAATGATATCGTCAATAAAGTAATGACATTATTGGTTTTGCTATTTAATTTTGTTTTCAAGGAAACAAAATGATTTTATTATTGATTTGTTTTGAACTTCTTATGTGATTTAAAAGTTAATTTTATAAAAATTTAATTAGTAGCATCTATAATTTTTTATCTTCAATTTCTAAATTAATTAATTCTTTAATTGAAAATGCTCATTCTAGGTATATATATTTTTTATTGCAGAATATTATGCCACTCAAGTCTCCAGTATTAAATCGAAGAAGGGCATCTTCTATTGCAGCAACGCTTTTAGCAACTGATAGTAGAATTTTTCGTAATGCAGAAGATTTTAATCCTTCTTGGTCACATAATGTTTCTGGCAGTGCAAGGTAAGTTTGTTTTTTTTTTTTTGTTTGACTCATTTTATGTGTTTTTACCCCTGCTTTTTTATTAAATAGAATTTTGAATTTATTAAAAATACCTTATTTTCTTGATTTTGAATTCTCTACTTTATTAATTGAGTAACAACAACATGCATATTATACAAATGATTTGTTTCATTATTTTTCCTACCAGAACTGTATTCAATGTAAGTTAAGGTACAGTGAAAGTCAAATAAGGATTTCACTGTATGTATGTATATATATGTAATTAATATAAATTTTGTATAACAATATTATTATAAATAGTATGTAAATACTAAAAACAATCCTCACCTCAAAATTTATGTTATTAAGGTTATTGAAAAAGTAAAAACAAAAAAAAAATACTTTTATTTATTTATTAAGGGCGGGATTAGGAGTGTTGCTCTTGAAAAGAAAAAAAAAAAACTTTTTTGTTAAACAAAAACTTCATTTTTTAATGGTAAAAGTTTTCAAGTAGATTTCCAAGAATTTGGTTTACCGATTCCTTTTTAAAGTTTCAAAAAATAAAATTTATATATTTTCTTTGCACTGAATAAAAACGAGAGTCGTTTCCGAAAAGAGAATAATATGATGGAAGATATAAAAAAGGTAATAATATTATTTTAATTTTACTTTGCATTTAACTATATAGATGGTATATAAAACGAAAAAAAAACAAAAAGAAAAACAAAAAAAATTAAAGAAAGAATGAAATTAAAATAAAACAGAAGTTTAAAAAAAGAATAATAAAATAAGAGAAATCGGATGGTTACTCTCAACGGATAAAGGAATACTTTTCAAAAAGTATAAGTTAAAAGTTTTTGTGTATATAAGGTGTTCCAATATCATCAGTTCGTTTTCAGCAATGAATTTTTTGCGTTGCTTCAAACACTCCCTAAAATTACCATAATTTATATACAAACTCACATAATTTTCCACAATTCCAGAAACTATTGGAAATATGATGATAGGATGAAATTAATAGTATTTTCAAAATTTGAATCGTTTTTCATCTCCATTTTCAGTGTTTGAATATTAATATCCTAATACAGCATTCTAAGCAAACTCGGAAAAATTTAGAGAATTTCAATTATATTATATTCAATTAATTAGGGTAGAGCGTTGTGGGGTGTTGGTACAGGAGTTAACAGGTTACAAATCTGCAAAAACAATATTTTAAAAAATATATTTGGTCTCCCTATTACATAGTACAATCGACTTATATTTTTCCAATCGTATTTTACCTCTAACTGGTATATAAATTTTGGGCAGCTTTTATTTGTATTTGTAAAGTTCTTAATGGATTGGATCATTTCCATTTCTCTTCTATGCAGCGCAACTCCCATAATTTTTACACCAAATATATAGAAACACTATCTATATTCGTAGAGTTCGTATAACTCTGTCTTCTTTTCGAGTTTGGGTTATACTTTGTGATTTATAGATGATAGGTTTCTCGTATTGAGACAAACTATCTTAATTAAATGGCAAGTAATTACTCTGCCGTAAACACATTTGGTACATTTGTAAGCAATTAAATTAAATTGAAAAAAAAAAAATGAATCAAAAATTTGCAAGGACAACAAAAATTGTATTTGAAACGATACACCCTGTCTTACTTATAGTATATTTTCTAACATCTTTTAAATGTCGTATAATTATTAAAGTTAACTGACTATAGAGACCGACTAGACTTATAATTCGAGTAAATGGCATAAAGTATAACCAGTAAATAGAAGTAAAGCAATTAAAATTTTAAAATTTTATGAATTTTTATTTAAATTTTCCACATTCCATATAGAATAATGTCAACACGTACATTTCTATTAATTATGAGGAAAAGCAAAAAAATGTTTTTGTTCTTTCCTTCTTTCTTTGGATTTCATATTCATTTTCAACCTGAATAAATTTTCAAGACAATCGATGTGTAAAAAGGGTTTTTGTTGAATCGCTTCGCTCACATTTATAACTTTAATATTTTATGAAATTGCGTATATTTGTGTGTGTTCGTGTATGTATCAGTGTACAAAAATTGCTACGTAATTATTCAGCAATTTTACAATTTATGATTGTACAATGAAATGATAAAATTAATTGTTATACGTTTGTATACGAAATCACATTTGTTTTTGTTCATAGAAGGATGGAAAATGTAAAACAAAAGGTTTTTAATTTTAATTTTAAAAGTTTTTATACTACAATGTGCTTTACATATAAATTAAAAATATTATGGAACATTCCATTCCATTTGTAAGGACATTTATAAAAGAAATTCAGGAAAAAAAAATTTATATACAAAAGATTGGTACAGAAATGTACTTGTATATTTACGAGCCTTGTGCATAAGCTTGTCAATGTTAAATTAGCATTTTAATTAAATTATCTAAAAATTTACTTAATTAAGCTTAAATTAAAATTTTTCTCGATTTAAATCTTCATTTTGTTATTTATTTTTGTTATTAATTTGACGTAAACTTCCATTTCGAACAAGTTTCATTTTACCCAATAAATTGTATCTGAGTACTTATCGGGTTGGTTACGAATGTTGTAAGCGAATGTTTGGGTTTTTCGCTTACAATGCTGATTTTTGAGTAATTTACTTGGATTAATTCCCGAGCTAACGTATGGATGTAAAAAATGTAAAAAATTTCATACACAGTTGATTTATTCTACTTTAAATTTACTTATTTGACCAAAAAATTTTTTGGAAATGATCGCAAAATATAAGGTTCAAATTTTATCCACATTCTAAATATTATAAATTTCAATTTAATTTACTTGAAACGAAATTCCTGAAACGAGTTGCCTAAGTTTTTTTTTATAAGCTCACAGCTAACCAGGTTTTCCTTATATCACAGTACATGTAAATACTTTCAATTTCCATCTTAATATAAATAATTTAAATAACCAAAAATAAATTAGTTTATGAAAAGAAATCTTTATTTGGTTAAAATTAAAATGGTTCCACTGTACTTCCGAACATATCACTGTAAATAATATGATTGCGTATACGGTTAGGTAGGCATATACATAAGTACATAGATTGTAAGTATATGTAAACATGTAGTAATTAAGATAATTGTGTAAATAATTTATACATAATATACATATGTACATACATATGCGCATATATTTAGAGAGAGATGTAATTATGTAATTATAATAATAATTACAAGTATAAAATTTTTCTTTAATGAGAATTAATAAATTAAGCGGCATTACAAGTAGTAATTTTTATTAAAATTATTTTCATTTGTGACAAAATTCATTAAATGAAATGTACAAAAATCATGCGAAAATCATAAAAAATAAATTCAGATCACACAATTGATTGGTAAAGTGGCGCCAGGGGAGGGAAAGTAGTAAAAAAAATTAGTTTTGGCACCAAATTTTTTAAAGGGCTGAATGATGTTAAAAATTTCAATTCTTGTGAAAAATGCGTTTCTCGTAAAGATTAATTTCAAATTGCAGTTTTCCATCTCATAGCATTTAGAACCATTGCAAACTGCGATTTCCGAACAAAATGAAATGAAGCATACAATGAGAAAATTGTCGTTAATAGAGCATGAGAAAAGCAAAATATCCTGATGAGAAAAACAGTACCATTAAGAATTATTATTGCTTATATGAAAATAATTTTAAATAAAAAATTAAAAAAAAAAAGAAAAATAATAAAAAATTAATGACGTGTGCTATGACGTAGTTTACGTTTGCTAGTACAACAGAAATATGCGCACTATTCTTATTCTTTACGAAATTTTAAATATTAAAAATAAATATTTATAGATAAAAATATTTCCGATTTATTACTAATTACATTTTATTTTAGGTGTACACAACACGTTTGTATATTTGTACAAGATCGAATTATTGTTTAGCGTAATTTAAAATTTAATAGAAAAAAAACTTAATTTGCTTTTGAACAGAAGCGTATTAAGGTAATAATACGCCAGGGCAATAGGTTGAAAATAAAGTATAGTTATTCAATTAAAAAATAAAAATATTTATTTGGTCCGTTTTAATTTATAAATATTTTCTTTAAGAGTAAAAAGCAATATCAAGATTGTTGAAAAATTTTTGTTATATCAGAAGAATTGTGTTTTAACATATACATACATAGGTATATGGTAAACTCTCAGTTGAATTAAAATAGTGCAATATACGATTTCTATTACTAAAGTTCCATGTTTAAATTCAGAAGAAACCATTGATATAAGAAAGAAAGAGAAAATATTAGATGCCCTTCTGAGAAACAAGAAGATCTGAAGATGAGAAATAAGTTTCCATTCACAAATTTTTATTAAATCAAAAACTAAAGCACATATTATACAAATTTAACTTTTATAATATTTAAAGTCAATATGGCAAATAACAATTACTTGCAAAAGTTTAATAGACTAATGCAATAATATGTAGCGAAACTCCCAATTTATCTTCACGTAACTATTTTGGATGCGGGTTACACTTATTTATTGCATATTATTGCCTTCAGCTTATTAGAAATAGGTTAAAAACTTTAATTTTATTATGCACTCATACATACATATTCTGTTTGTATCTAAATGAATTTCTTTTTCTGTTTTTTAATTTCAATGAACATAAATTTTGTATAAATTGCAAAACATCAAAGAAATTTCGAACTTCAAAATTATCTAATTTAATTGTAAATTAATTCGACAAAGTCAGATCTTTATAGATTATAAACTAAAACAAAAGGTTGAAATACCTTTTTTCTTTATCCTTTTATTATTAAATGTATAACAGTTTAGATAATGAAAAAAAAGGAATAAATATCCTTTTAATTCAAAAAAATAAGTGAACATTTTATATGTTATTAAGAATATATGTATATATAGAAGATAAGATATAAGATAACTGTTATATAGAATTATGTATTAAACATTAAAAGATAATACAAAACAAAAAAAAGGGCAAATGGGTTCTACACCAACATTAAAATGTTGTCTGTACATCTCTTTACTTGA